AACCATGGGGTAGACCAGGTTCTTCTGCGGGCTGAGTGCTTGTGGCTGGACTAATAAATGAGGAATCATTCAGGCAGGGAGAAAAAGATGTGAGTTTTGCTTTCACGATTGACACCACGTTGTGTTGTTGACTAAAACATGTGCTCGATACTGGCCAGTGACGAGCTCAGGGTTGCAAGAGACAACAAGGCTACCAACATAGCCACAGGAGTTCCGGCTGCTGGGATTCTACCTGTACATGTGTCTGTTAGGTAATCGACTGTTCCACTTTCTTCTGAACTGAACTGGTTAGCACATGCCATCTCCCCAGGAAATGCATCCAATGTGTGTATCCATTTCCTGTCAGCTGGGAGGGACAGGAGGCCTGGGAGGGGCTGAGCAGGTTGGGCTCCGAGCCCCACCCCATCCTCAGGCACCTCCTTAGACTTCAACAGTGGACACTTGACACCGGCACCAGGAATTTTGGAAATAGAGGATTATCCTAAAACAGGAGAGGAAATAGATACGGACCACATTGACCTTGGGAGCCACCTGCCATGTGAAGAGTAGGGAGATAAGCTGTGGGTGGTGAAGAGAAGAGCCGGAACTATGACGAGGAGAGAATGAAAAGATCTAGACAGGGAGGCATGGAAAGAACAGAAAAAAAGATGCGATATCCTTCCCAGCTCAGATAACCAAGGTGTAGACCTTTGCAGAACCTTGCCTCACCCAAGCCGGAAGCTCTGCTCACTGTGCAGGGCACAGTGACAGGAGGCAGCCTTACTGTGGATCATGAGAACCACTTTTGAAGGCAGAGCTGCTGTAGCAAGCATTCCCCTCCCCGTCCTCTTGTCTCCTCATGAATGCTGTGTGCCCCAGCCTGAGGATATGGCTACCCTCCAGGGGGCAGGGACAGCAGAGGATATGAGGGTTTCTGCCCCACGGGGAAGGCTCAGAATGAGTTTCAATGTCCTCCTGTGCTATTGCTAGTCACCCATTAGATGGGCACTTCAGACCCTCAGTCGCTCTGTACATTTAATGTTGTTCCAAACTTGGCCCCAGATTTCTAGACTGAATCAGGGCTGGAAAGTTAACCATATTTTTATCCCACACCTGTGCAGCAGAACGTACCACCCAAGGAATACCTGCCACAAATTAGGCTCATCTGTGTTGTCCAACAAGACTGCTAGGGGGTGGTATCATAGAGATAGTAAGAAAATCAAAAGAGCAACAAACATGCATTGGGGACTTGTTTGTGGATGACGCCAGCATTCTCTCATTTGAACTTTATGAGCGAAGAAGAAGAAGAAGAAGAAGAAGAAGAAGAAGAAGAAGAAGAAGAAGAAGAAGAAGAAGAAG